CCCCCCCCGTTCGGGGCAGGGGGGCGGGGAGTGGGGGTGCTTGGGGGCGGGGGGGGTGCCCTGCGAGGGGTACTCACACTGCACCCTCTGCTCCCTTCCCTGCCCCACTGCAGCACGCATTGGGGTGCCCCCTGCCTGCCCCCACCCCCAGAGCTTGTGCCAGAGGGACAGTGGGGCAGGGCTCGACCCCAACCACTTCCCGGTGACACCCCCAAGCCCTGAACACAGGCATCGGGCCGTTTCAGCAAGGGGAACCGGGGCTGGCACCAAGGGGGCAGCAGGTGGGGAAGGGTCTGGGATAGCCAAAGCCCTTGCCCCCTTCCTGGGGGTGTCCATCCGAAACAAGCCCCGTGCCTGGTGTGAGAAATGCCGGCTCACACCTAGAATTTAAAGAGGACAAAGTCGGTGAAGCAAAGGTATAGAAATTTATTATACGAAATAGCGCTGAATCGGGTGCATCTCAAAGTAGAGGCACACCCCCGTTTGGTTTCTTAGGTATCTTTATACTTTTTATCCCGGCTGCCTGAGTTACTGTCTCCCTTCTCATTGGCTGAGAAGTTGGAGCTCACATTCTTCCTGACCGCCTAACCTATTATAGATAAAGCACATATATCTGTTCTACAAAATTATTATTCTAAACACCCCGCTATATGTTTGCCATCACCTGCTGTCCAATATTAGTGGTTACAAGTACTCTGGTGGTCATATCTTCATTAGTTACCCTCCAGGTGGCCTTCATCCACTTATCAGTCTCCACTGTCAATTGTCCACTTACCAGTCTTCACCGTCCGTTGTCCACTTATCAGTCTTCACTGTCCATTGTCCACTTATCAGTCTGCCACCAATTTTTGGTTAGCCTTCACCTAGATAACACTTCACAATCAAGAACCCCTGGACAGCCCCAAGGCACCTCCAAGGATCAGTCGGACACAAGGGATAAGACTCCACTATAACTGAACTACCTTTATCAATACAGGCACGCTAACAGAGAAAAGAAAAAAAATAATATATCAATTAGCTGAAGCAAAATTCAGCCTGTTTCTCACACTGGTGAGATTCACCCCGCTCTCCAGGCGCAGGCAATGTGCCCGCACTTGCAAGGCTGGGGTGGCAGCCAGGACAGCACGGGGAGAGGAAGGCAGGCTCTTTTTTGGGCATGCAAGGCCTTCTCCAGGCTGGAAATGGAGGTGAAAGCAGCAGCAGATCTCAGCAGGGTTTCAGTGCTGCCGTCTGGTGGCCCAGGGACCACGAGAGTCCTGCTCTGGGCAGCCAGGACATAACGGTTCCTTCACCCTCCACCCCAGACGACAGCTTGCAACGGGGCAGGTCCCCTCTCTGCTCTCCTCCTTCCCAGAAGCTATGTGCCCCCAGGGCAGCTAGAGCAGACCCTTGAGGTAGTGGAGCCTGAGGGGGAGGATTTTTCCTTCGATTTATCCTGCTCTGGAACACGTGAAAGCTGCATCGCTCTCCTGATCCTCTCCTTCCTCAGCCTAGATCCTATATATAATGTGTGAAGAAGTTGAAATAATGAAACGTTTTTGCCCACCAGCACAGCAGGCAGTGACCCCTCTGTCCCTGCGTTACCAAAGACCAGCCTCTGCTTTGTTTATAACCGTGTGCCAACTAAAATGTTGTTTTCTTCCTACTAACCTTCTTACTGAGATGATTACTGAGCTTCTTACTCTGTGAGAAGACAGTTGATCACCGAGCTAACAGTGACAAGGATGGAATAACAAGAAGTAGCTAATCACTTCAAGGTTCCCTCATACATCTAAACACATACTCCTACACCAATTAGGACAGAGCTGTGACTACTTCAAGGAACATCCTTATCAACCTCAAGAAGTTGGCAAACCTACAGTAAAGTCTCACTGTCCTGAGATCACTCAATACCCTGAAAGGATAATGTGAGGAAGGGTATCCTTACCCAAACGACCACCGAGGAACTCACACCTGTGCAGAAGTGTTTTTCCAACACCGCAAAATTTAATACACGTGTGCAAAAGGGCTATTTTGTCATCCTGATGACTATGTAAGCCCAGGTGGAGCTATGTATTGGGCAGACAGAACTATGAGAATATTTTGTGTATAAACAATGGATGAACGTCCCCGGTAAGGTGTGCTAGATTTGTGGATTTCCACCTAGCACCTGACATCGAATAAAGCAATATCTCCTCTCTAAACTGCTCCTGGTTCAGAGAGCTTTTGTTTCAGGTAACTGCTGTATCCCTCTCCCAGCCCATGTGGGCACACCGTGCCCTGGAGGCCATGCTGTGTGCCCGCCGGAGCCTGCTTCCATCCTGCAGAGCCAAGGCCTGGGCAGTGCAACCCAAACAACTGCCCCAAGAGCAGCTTTGGGCTGTGTCCTGAGGCTGCCTGCTCTCACCGCCCAGCCCTGCAGCTTCCCCATTGCA